GATGCTCACATGGTTCTTCAGCAAAAGAGAAAAATATATTCTTTACTCACTTTTTGTATTTTTGTAGTAATGTACAACAGCAAAACTCAAATGAATCCCATCTTGAGATTGATCAGACCTTCTTGAACGAATGTGAATCTGCCTCGTCTATGAAATAAAAACTCTATGTTAGAAAATGCAGATATCAACTTCTTCGAATGAAGAAAAACTATCGAGCAGAAACTAAAGGGTCCCATTTTCCTATATTTGTGGCAACGAGATCTTCGTCCAACCATGCCACGAGCCTGAAGCCTTCTTGAGTTTTTTAGTCTCACTGGGTCCTACTCATAGTCAAAATATGAACTCGAACAACGTCAGACAGTTGGATATGTTCTGTTGTTACACACTTTATGCAATTCAAATTATTAATCTACTCTGTGGATAAACATATTCACATTATATTCTTTACTCGATTGTCAAAACAAATAAGACAAAGTAATATCGACGTTGTTGCTCGTAAACAACGCATATTTTAATCTGTGACAAAAACGTTTTCCGACGTAACCAAGTGTGAAAACATTAACTTTCACCGAGTTGCTTTTTTCTCACCGAAAAAAACTCGGCAACATACACAAATGTTGTTTGTTTATGCGTAAAAGAAACAATACCCTTTGAACTCTTCTTGCTGTATGGCACCAAATTTATTCGTTTGCCTTTTTACTGTTGAAACGTAGATCAAGTGAATCTCATTATATTTTTAAACATTGAGTTTTAACAATCATCACACTTCTAACAGTTGCATATATTCCTATGTGTAATCTACAAAATATAATTGTTCGATAAAACAAATATGTCCAAAAAGTGTACAAAATGTTATAGTCATCACACTCTATCAATTCAACAAAATTTATCGACATTGAGGGTTTTTTTTCGGTTCATATATTTTCTTTTCTCTTCTCAACCGTCAGCAAGCCAACCGCTCGGTGTACACAAGGTTTTTTTTACTTTCCTCTGTCTGTATGATTTATGAAACATAACAATAAAGCAAAAAAAAAGTGTAACGAGTAAGATAGAGCAAAAAATAAGGGTGAAATACGTCGCATGATTTCAAATTCTAAATGGTAAGGACAAGAAAACGAAGAAAATTCATTATTCCACGTGGTAATCATGTTTTTACAATTTCATCTTTTGTTCCTTATTCATTACCATCGACACTTCTCAGATTAAAAAAATTACACTATTTTTTCTTTTTATTTTAGATTGTAAAAGAATCAATCTGTTTTCTTACAGCATCTCTAAACATGAATATCGTTCACTATGTCTTGGTGATTATACTATATAATCTTCTGTGCATTATTAATCAAATTCACCCGTTAGATACAACTGATAAACTTCAAAATGATCAAGTGAATGCTAATCCTTTTCTTATTGAAGTATCTTGGACTACACATGACTATGATCTTCATACTATTCCAACTTTACAAGTTGTAGCCAATCCTCTTTTAGCTCGACAATTTTCACCTATCTACAAACAAATTTTTGCTAATTTGAAACAACTCAACGCTGAATATACTCGATATGCTGTTTGGTTTGCTTATCCAAAATTAGCTGTTGCTGAACTTGATCCTCCATCAGGTTTATATCAATGTGGTAATGTTGGCGAGAACTTTTCAATAAATTTATCATGTGAACAAAATGGTGGAGTAATAAGTAAAGTCGATTTTGCATCATATGGAACATCAAGTGGTGCATGTGGTCAAATAAAACAAGGAACATGTCATGCAGAAAATAGTTCAGAAATCGTTCAACGAGTGTGTATCGGACAAAAAACATGTAGTGTTCCAGCAACGAATGATCTCTTTGGTGATCCATGTAAGTTTTTTAATGGAGGAATTAAGAATCTTTTCCCTAGAGAAAATAACATTACGTAAGTGTCTATGAAATAATCAAATCCAATTTTTGTGATACAGTCAA